CTCTTAACTCACCCACCGTTGTCAAGTGCTGTGGTGTATTTATACACTAAGTATTGCTTAGTATTACTGTGTCACTACAGCATCATCATATATGTGTCAAAACTAATTTACATAGTATGATCTCAAGGTTATTAGATCATTCTTTTGCACTACGCTTGCATCTCCCCAGTTTGGGATTATCAGGGGTCTTTGATGAAGGCTTTCAAGGTCTTTGCTTCTGAACTTTTCAGCTTTGTCTTTGGAGCATGCCCAGTTATGGTGTTCCTTGGTCTGTCTACACTTACCTGGCCTAAATTCTTTGTTTTGTGGCTAATTTGCTTTGTACTTGCCAAGTTTTCATTAGCACTATACTTTCCTATCTCTAAAATGATCCACCTGGTGAGGTTTTCTTCTTTTTTTGTCTATTCAGCATGAAGAAACTAGTTAACCATATACTAGCCATTACATTGTATAAAAAGTTATTTATATCAGGTTATATAGGTATCAGGTTATATAGATATCTAAAAAGTCATGATTTAGGGTATATTGATATTAGGTTATATAGATATATTAGGTTATATTGAAATCTTATAACTCAAACCATATAAGCACCTTGTAACTTTGGTCTAAGTTATACGGGCATCAATTTGCACACAGTTCTTCTCCTTTAACTTGCCACAACATGAAGCACATCAGTACTTAGTAAAGTAATCCAAATCTATTTTTTCCCTTGTAAATGTAATGAATGGTGTTCATTACAGGAATTGTTTTTAATGGCTTCCTTCTGGAAGACTTGGAGTGCTTTGTCTTGCATCCTTGATGTTTCCAATAAAAAAAAGTATCTCTGGTGCTGGGTCAAGAATATTAAATCTGGTAAAACACTGCAATAACTATATTTAAGAATGAGTTTTATGCTTGGGGGCTCTGTTTTGTACTGAGATAAGCAGGCAAAAATCTCATCAGCTGCAAAGGTCAGTGTCTGAGTATCAGAGGTCAGAGCTGACTGTGCCATCTGGAAATGAGAGAATTGCACTACTCCCTGTAAAGCTATTTGAAGAGTGAACTATTTTGCAAGTGGAAATAGATGTTAATAAGATTTTAATGGAGTTTGAGTGTGTTGTTAGTTGAGACCTTAATAAAAATATGGGTTTTCTGGGGATGATGAAACTGTTGGTGAGTAAGCTTGCTATTTAGTAATCTGAAATGCCTGAAAATTGCTTCAAGTGACTGTGTGTTAGCAGTACCTTACATTTTCTAGGAGAAAAAAAGAGATCTCCTTTAAGATCCTTGTGAAAAACAGCTGCATTTTTCAAAATTTAAGTACATAAACTGGACACCTGAAAACAACAATGAGAAGTTACTAGAGAAGTAACCTATTTTCTGCAACTGCAGTAATAGCTTTTTCTTTTTTCATATTTATTTCCTACTGATAGTTTTTTGTAAATCAGTTTTCTACAAGATTTCAAAGTTTGTAACATGGGGCATTTGAAATACTTCTAAAATAATTTTTAATGAGTCTATAAATGTGGCATTAAGTATATTTAAAAAGATCTCTCAGCTCAGATTCCTTATATTATTACTAAGACTGATTACTTTTCCCCTTCTCTCTGTTCTTCTTGGTCTTAACATTTCCACCTCTGCATTGCTATTGTGGAATATACAACAAATGCTTACTGAGGATAAGTTTGGAGAAGGGTTGAATTTTGTGGAAGGTCACAGCAGAAAACCCATATTCTCGTTCTTGTCAACAGATATCTAAAAATAAAAATATTAATTGGCAGCCTATTTTCCCATATGCTTTGAATTTTTTTTTTAATTTTTTTTTTCTCATCTACACCAAGCCTGTGGTATGAAGACTGTCATCATTATCTTCAAAAGGTCCTGTTTGTGCCTTTTTGTACCCAGGGGAAGGTTCATACGAGAGACAGAGATGAAGATACCTGAAGCCATTGCTGTGCAGATTATGCACCAAATACTGCTTCACCAATATCTTTCTCTGGTGCAGTATGCAAGGCAAGAAACTCTAAACCAAGTGAAGTTAAAAAAGGATCTGATCCAGCTCTGTCAGCTGGAGCTTTAGCAGTTGTTCTCTCTGAACCTGATCTCTCTGTCCTAACCCACAGAAATGTAATTGTGGCTATGAACAAATGTAGATGGCTTTGAAAAGGTTTGCAGTCTGAGCAAGTACTGGGGATAGGGAGTTGATTGAGTCTGATGAGGTAAGACAAGGAATCAGTGAGTGGAGTGGGAGTGGCGTAGAACTTGATTCTTGAGGAGCTCAAGCATTGCTGGAGCTGGGGTTGAGCTGGGCAGCTGAGAACGGGCCTAGAGCAACACAGATAGTGGAGGAGAGAGTCCAAGTTCACAGCAGAGTGGTGAGGTTTTTGTGTGAATATTTCTCATCAGGATCCCCTGGTCACTGATGTTGAACTGTCTCAGAAGGCTTTCACAAGAAGGCATGGCAGTACTGCTGTTCAAAATTAGAAGTTACTGTATTGGTTTGTTGGTGAGGGGTGGAAAGGTCAGGCCAGGAAGAGCCTTGCAAGAAAAGCTACTTATATTTGGTGGAGCAAAGCAGCCCTGTGACCAGAGCCTGAAGGGCAGGATGCTGTCTGAGAGTTAATGGAGTGTTTGTGATGTACAGCAAATGTTCATAGGACCCTGAAAATGGCCTTGAGTGCTCTGTGCTTAGTGTCAGCTCTGCATTTCAGGACACAGGCTTCTCTTCTCAGAGACAGAATTTAGTCTGGAGAAGGTAACAAGCCTGGCTTTTATAGAAGGATTGGAGTAGCTCTGCCCTGTCAGTGTGGCACAGAGCCACAGCATGTTGGAACCTATCCCACCCCAGCCTGACAGGGCTCCTCAAAGTGCATGCTTGTAATGTATTAGTCTGTTAGCTTGTTTTCATGGTGTGTGGTGGTGGTTAGATTTCAGCTGAGGTGGATCAGTGAGAGCAGGTTGTTCCAAAGGTAAAAGGCCACCCAAGAGCTGCTGAGCAGCTCCACAGGGTTAAACTGAGTGACGATAAGCTGAAATTTGACCTCCTTCAGGCAGCAGTTCATGTGTCCAGAGTGTATTTCTGAGAGAGACCCAGTCTGCTCTGAGCACCTCCAGCTGAAGGAGGAGGGAAGGCTGGTCAAGGGCTGGGATGTCTGTACTGCTTTGATCACACTCAGCACCCCAGCTGCCTGATGGGGACACTTACTGTGACTCCATGAACATCTTTCTGCAATAATAAGTGCTGAGTTTGCAAGCAGCACAGATCACACATGGGACACGCCTGTGAGAGGAAGTTTAGGAACTGAGTAGCTACACAGAGAAGTTGTATTTACTGGGTAATGTGCACTACGAGCATGATGGTGTTATTGCCATTGATGCAAAATCTGATCAGTCCTTAATGTTTTTGAATTTTTTTCCCCTGAGCTTTCAAGTAAGGGCAGGTTAAGCAGTGGTGTTGAGGTGCACATTAGCTCAGTGATTAATTGTCATTTATTAACTTACACTTGGATCAGAGAGACAGGGTGTGTAGAAACTCAGACTCCTTCTATAAGGCTCTTTACTTTTAAAGGCAAAGTCCATATGGTTAGTATTTCTCATCAAATAATCAAGCATGTCTGGTGTGAAAGGATTTGTGACTTGGACACACAAGGAGCTTATCTTCAGAGAGAAAGGCATAGCTGTTTTACCTAGAGGCAGCTGACGAGCGTCAGTTGTCCTGAGATAAAATGTAAGGATGAGAGACTTTCATTTTAATACTATATAAACTTGCCAAGTCAGCTAGATAGGAAGGTAGGATTTAATTTACTGTGTTTACATTGTGATAAATCCACAATGCTCGGTCTTTGATATGTTTTTTTCTCCAAGAATGAGTCGTATTTATTACTTAACCCCAAACTGTGTCTTCTTTTTTAGAATGAGGAGACAGATTCATACAGTACTTTGAGGCTCTTCCTGAAATACAAAGAAATTGCTATTTCTTAGTACAATATTGTTACAGCAGTAGTTTAGAAAAATATTATGGAAAATCATCAATGTCCAGTCTTACCTCTACAAAAAGTAGGGATAACTCTGAAGTTAAATCAGCTACTACTCATGTAATCAACTGATAATCTGAATCAGTTTGTATCTTTTAATTTAGTATATTTAACTGGAAGGGTGATATATAACTTCAATGACATCATTAAAACCTGTCACCTTTTTAAGCTGAATTCTTTACTAGGTCAGTGGCCATTTTTGCCAGTGACTTAATAGGTCAAAATGACACCTAGAGGTTTCTGCTTGTTGGTTTCTTTTTTGTAGTTGCTTTACTTAAGATGAAAGATCCTTTTGGAAGCTTTAGCATTATATGTTTGGCAAGGTGAACCAAAAACCACTGACATCAAACTATAAAAATGGTAAGCATTCAGTCAAAGAGGTGGCAAGATAGAAACAAATAGTTTCTGTGGTCTTTATTAAACATTTGGACTTGCCAGTTTACTTCACAAAGTGTAACTGCAGTAATTCTACTGCAGTTAGAATTACTGCTGGTCAGTGATGACCAGCTGTAATTAAGGTCATAGATACCAGAGTAAATATTAATAAAAAATAAAAGCAGAATAGCAAAGGGAAACAGTAATTGTACTGTCAAGCTGTAAGAATTTACTCAGGCAGAAAGGCAAATTAAAGAATTTGAAAAATTCTTTAAGTGATGATTCTGGGAAGACATGTGCCATGAATTTTGTGGACCTGACTCTTGAGAGTTGAATTGAAGGTATATGTAATGAGGATTACTAGAATTTGGATTCATTTTTTCCTTTTTAAGACTGACTCCTATGCTGTTCCAGATTGGGAGATACCTAGAGCAGAAATATTAAATTAAAAATACATTTTAGATACTAAAACTAATGTGTAATATCTTGGTTTACTTGTTGCCAGTGGTTTGCTTTGATACTTTGACACAATTCATGGTGTCTTCATGCACATTAATACATTCTGTATCTTAAGATATTAACCAAAAAATTATTTTTGATTTATGTTTATAGCCGTCGGTCTGGACAGTATACAATGAACCATGACCATTCCAAGAAGATTCCTGATGGAGCATCATTTGACCGCTCAGGATCCCAGGACTCCTTGGATGAACTGTCTATGGATGACTACTGGAAAGAACTTGAAAACATCCAGGAAACCAGAGGAAATAATAACGAGGAACGAGTAGCACTTGTAGTAAAAGAGCCAGATGGTAATGAAATCTGTTCTGTCAATGTTCATCAGTTTGCTGATTTAAGGGTTTTTCTTCAAGTCTTATTTCAAGACATGGCACCTACCTAATGCAGATCAAAAAAGGAGGTCACTTTCCTGAACATCTGCTTTGAAAATTCTGTTGCCTCTGATGCATATCACCAGAAACAGGCAGTGCTCTTAAAGGCAGTTTTATTAGAGACAAGTAAAAGGTTGATTTTTCTTTGAATGGTACTTGCAGAATATCACAAAGGTGCCTGTGCTTGCAAATCACAACTGAGCTCTTTGCAGTTTACTGTTGAACTAACTTACCCTTTCACTCTCTGTGTATGTTGTTCATTATTGTAGCTATTGTGGATAGAAACCTCACGCTTTAGAAGACAAGCCAATGATTAACCGATTTAAGTTTAGTGAGTAACTTTCTATGCTTGTAACTGTTGTGATTGTTCACTTGTACTATTTGTGTTTCTCAGAAGCATGAATTATGGGCCACTCCTTGGGGCATAGTCTTAGAGGCTGGGCAATTTTTTTTTTGTTTGTTTTGTTTTGTTTTGTTTTGTTTTCGTGTCCTCTTAGATAAAAGAGGAGTAATGTCCTTAATTTCAATTTTTGCTCAAAAATTATTTTTTAACAATGCAATAGCTGCCTCTCTCCCATTCTTAGAGACCCACAGTCTCAGTAAATTAAAACTATCAATTTTGCATTATGGAATGGCCTCCATATGAGTGAGAAGAATGTGCTCCATGAGCTTTCAAAGGGAATTGCTCTTCTGCCTCCCTCAGCACTTTGAAAAGTCATTGCTCTGAAGAGCATAACAACGAGGTCCCTGGAGAAAGCAGCAAGGCTCCCAACTCTTGTGACTGGCAAGCTGGGGGGTTTTCTGATGGAGTCATGGGGCTTTGTCCAGAGCAGCAGAGCCCACTGTTGTGCAGTACACAAGCCTCTTCTCTTACTGCAGCTCATTGGTGCGGCTGTGCCTTTAGGCTTTGCACCCCCAGCCCCACCATTTCCACTGGGTTTATATGTAGCCTTCTTCCCCCTGGTTACTGCAGCTGACTCTGGCATGAAGCCCGAGTGAGTCAGCACAGCTGAGTTATCAGATCCAGCACGTGTTGCTGTGCCCCACACCTTGCCTAATGTGCAGCACCTCTCTTGGGCACGAGGATTCCTGAACATGTGGGATGCTGCAGCTGGCTGATGGACCTGCCTGATATTCAGCCAGGCAAAGGCAGGACAGGGGAGAGAGCTTGCTCACAGCTGCTCTGGGACATGGGTGTAGCCCTTCTTTCCAGCCCTGATAACAAAACCTGAGAGTTTTGTCAGAGGCTCAGGATGTGGCTGCACAGCCGTAGCAAAATTCATACTTAAATTTTGGTGTTTGTTTTCTGGATGCTGTTAATATTAAGGTACCCACTTGGATGTGCTCTAGGCACAATGGTAAAATAAAAAAAGCAATAGTGAAGTTGACATGCCAGCTTTGGAGTATTTTTAGGTATCTGATAAATGGAAATATTGCTTGAACATTTGAGAGAATTGTTGGCATTCAGCACAACCTCAACTGCTACAGAGACAGAACTTAGTGTTTATAGAAAATATCATTAGGGTGATACAGATTTCAGAAGCAGAAGTTTTGCCATTGGTGACAATATTTAATAGCTTTCTTTTCTTTCATGTGCAGTGATCTGTCAATAAAGGATACCTTATCAGCTCTAAGACTAAAGCAAAAATTGTTCTGTGGGCTGTCAGCAGGCTGGAGATCATGTCATAAGAATTGATGAAAAAATAGCATTAATCTGGTTCATGTAGGCTGGTATGTCCTTCGTTAAATTGAGCTAGTGGAAGGTTGTAGAATTAATGTATCAAGAAAAGTGGGCAGAACCATGTCAGTAAGAGAGCTAAAAAGAGTGAGCATTGAACTAAAAATCAGTGGAGCAGCACTGATCTGGTTTTCAGGCTTCCCCATACACATTTTTATTCAGGTACATTTATAAAATGGTATATGATTTTAATGGAAGTGCTGTAGATTATTATAAAGATTTCCACATAGCAATCTGTATTGGATTAACTACTTTAAAAGCTTTGATATCCTATATCAAACCTTTTGAGACTCCTTAGAAACAATAGCTTTTTTCTGAGTCATGAGAGTGTAAGTAATTCTTAATTGTATATCCCCTTGGTACTTTTCTGTGACTTATATTAACTGTGCCATGTCATTAAAATCCAATGTGCTTGGCAGTACTAGAAAGCCAATGTTTCTGCTTTTTTCTCTTCAAATTGCTCAGAGGGAGAACTGGAAGAAGAATGGCTGAAGGAGGCAGGTTTGTCAAATCTGTTTGGAGAGAGCTCAGGCGACTCCCTGGAAAGCATGGTGTTTTTATCCACCCTGACCCGAACCCAGAAAGCGGCAGTGGAAAAGCGAGTAGAGACTGTCACACAAACCATGAGGAAGAGAAACAAACAGCACCAGATTCCTGATGTCAGAGATATCTTCAGGCTACAAAATGACTCAAAGGGAAAAGTGAGTTCCTGTCGGTTGTTTTGTTTGATTCTGGCAGAGAGAAGAGAGGGACACGTACGGATGGGGGAAGAGCAGAGTGGCACATGAAAGGGATATTTCCAAAAAATTTGTGCCCAAGTTCACTGATTTCCGAGGGAATTTTTCACTGAATTTTCAGGGATGGTGTTTGTCCAGATTCAACATCACATTAAGCAATTTTAGTATTTCTAAAGAAGTATATTGGCCTCATCTTACTTAAAGGTGATGAATAAAACAACTGCTCATTTTAATTAGAATTATTTTTCACATGGATGTGAAACTCATCACAACAATCACCCAAAGTGCTACCACAAGCCTACCTTTGAATGGTTACCTCTTACTTACTGGTGCTTTTGTTTGTTTATTTACAAAAAAGGGGGAAAATGGGGCATTAGCATAACCTTCTTGGTTTTGGCTAGGTTTTTATGCCTATCAGCTTGGGGTGTAAACCCCTACTAACTTCCAGGGCTATGTGTGTGTTAAACTGTGTATGGGAAGTTACTCTGACAGGCCCCGAAGGGTCCCAGTTTCCTGTCATGGGATATTGAAGACAATTCCTTTCCCATATACAGGAAAGGGGAAGGAGGGAAATGGAGACTCTGATTAGAATTCCTTTTCCATGGAGAGGGATGTGTGTCTTCTCTGCTCCCTCAGAGCACTGAGATCTTCAGCCATGAGACCTTATGGCATGACTGGGTTATCTGACCTCAACTCTGTCCCTTGTTCTCACTGCTGACACTGCCTTTCAGTGCAGTGGTTGTGATGATGGAAAGCACGGTGAATTTTGATGGGATTTAATTTCCTCCTTCCCTCAACAGCTTCCTCTCCTTCAGCAACTCCTTCTAAATTCAGTTGAAGTGTAGTGGGGGAAGTGGTGTGCTCTGGAGGCACAACTTCCTTTTCACTGTTCTGCTTTGCCTGTGGTTGCAAAAGAGATATTAACTCCATAAAGGCTCCCTGGGATCTGATTTGTAATTGACTCTGTCTAAAAATTATAAGATCTAATAGCAGAGCAATTTAGGTAAAATATCATGTAGCTTAAAGCAGTATAATTTATCTTTTTTTTCTTTTATTTCAGTAAAGCACAAGAAATATTAATGTTCCTATGTAAGTAAGGACTACAGTAAGCTACATACTCTAATGTTTGAAAATCCTACGTCACAGTGTTCAATAGATTTTTCTTCTCTTAAACTACATGTTTTGATACTGAAGACTCTATTGACAAGACAAATTATTTTAGGTATTTAAGATGTATAAAACAAATGGTTGTTTATTAAATATGGAAATATTGCTGGGGGAAAAATCCTTCTAAACTTGTCTCCTTGACAGAAACAAAGTAATGCAAGTATAGGTCCTCAAACTTGTACTTCATTCCTTTCTCCAAAGCAAGATAATTGTTCAGAAATCATTGCTTCTGGTTATTCACCAAATTTGTCACCAAAAGGCTGTGGGAAGTAGCTTCCGCTACCTCCCTAGGTAACTTGTCTCACTGCTTTGTTACTCACCCATCATTAGAAAGCTTTTTATGTAACAAAAGAGGACTGAAGCCACCTGCAGCTGTATGAAGTCATTCCAGTATAATAATAGCCTCTTAAAATCCTGTAGTCTCCCTTCATCTGGAGGAAAGCAGGAGGAAAGGTGAAACAATAGTGTTGATGTTTTGCATCAACACAACAATTGTGTTAATATTTCTCCTGAATTTCCTGCTATATTCCCAAAGAAAAGCTAGGCTTTTGGTACCTTGACAGCTTCCCATTCTGCTTCTGCTGCTTTGTGAACAGACATAATTTTCTCAGCAATCATGGTAACTTCTTCCTCCTCTCAAGATACCCGATTTAAAAAAAAAAAAAAAAAAAAAAATAAAAAAAAAAAAAAAAAAAAAAATAGGTGAAAATACAGATTGTGCCAGTTGGATAAATCTTTAAAACTTGCATTTGTCTTTTCAGTAAGAATGGAGTTATAAATTGATTAAGTAAAATACAAGTAGAAACACAGTGTGCTAAATATTCATTGTTAATTTGTGTTGCAAAAAAGTAAAAATTGTATGTGTGTAAAAATGTATATGAGTCTACATATACCCATTTATATGGACATAGATTTTCTACATGTTCTGAAATATTTTGTCAATAGTTGGTGTCATCCAATTCACAAAATGCCAGATCTTGAGACTGGGTAGGGCAGTGTTACAGAAAGGAGAGGATGGTTCTAATTCTTTCCCATTCTTCATCTCTTCAAAGTGTCCTGATTTTGTTGTTGGAAATCTAAGCTGTAAACACAGATAATGTCAGGCTTCCCTGCAAAAGGAATGGGATTGCTCGCTAGGGGAGGAACCATTTAAGCTTTTTCAAGAGAAAGGAACTTGGTCTAAGTCAGTCAAAACATCTCCTCCAGATTCCCATTCCATATCCTTTCTAGTGCAAACTACAGCTCCAGGTCAGACTGCATTTTCTTATTCTTGGCACTCTGGAAAATAGTCATTTACCCACATAGCCTTCTAGGAAGAAGAGGAATTGACTAATTACTTCTTTTAATTACCTAGGTTTCAGATCCCCTTAGACTTTGGCAAGGGGTTTTCTGTTGAAACACAGAGATGTGTTTTTGCATACCCCTGAGTTGCAGAAGTGTGTGTTTTAATCCCACACAGAGTCAAAAGAGTTTCTACAACCATGCACTAGATTTTTATAGCCGTGCATATTTATTGTTCCTTTCTTAGGTCTGTGATGGAAGTGAACCTTCAACTGTGAGAACAAGTGAAAACAAAAATGAAACACATGATGGAACAAAAGGTAATGTCAAATTTCTCTCTATTTTATTTGTTTTTCTTTTGGTTGATAGGTGTTCAACTACACAGGACAGTACGTATTTTAAGTAACTTTTCAGCAAAATAAAATTATAATGAGTAATCTGTTCTGGACTGAATTGTTGGTGTGTAAAATTTGAAGTGTGCCTGTAGGTCATATCCTTTGAGCCACCTGAGAAACCCTGTTTATTATCAGGGATCAAGCTGTCTGAGAGAAATCTTCTCTTGTAGCTTATGCTCAGGTTTTTTCTGATGCTTAATTTATCGCTTCTGGTCTGTCTCTGCTGTACAGTACGGGAATTGAAGGTCTATGCATAAACTCATCAGTGCATACAAAAGAATAAAACCACATGGACTATAAGCAATAATAAAAAAAGAGAACCGGCTGGACTCAAGCATCTAAAAAATTGTGAGAACTGGCTATATACCTGTAGCTTAAGGGAAAAACAGGGATTAAAGAAAAAAGGTTGTTTACCTTTTCAAGGAAAATGGAAATGTGTGCCTAGGTTGTGTTCAGTGGCATGTTCTCACAAAAGAGAGGTGCAGTATCCATGGAAGACCCTTTCCTCTCACTATAGGATAGTACATCACAGAAGTTCCTTAGCTGTCAGTTTGTGTTTTGAGAGTATGATTTCTGATGAAAGACTTTGACAGAGCTTTCTGCTCTTCTTCAGGTCCAATAGTAAAAGGATAACTGTCCTGCCATGTTGGGTTTCTTCAAAGTAAGGGTTGCACTGTATCTGTTGTATCACCCTACCTACCCTTGTAGAAATCAGATTATTTAAGTTTTAAGATGCTGCAGTGTTTTTCTGCTTTGTTTATATATTGGGGTTTTTACTTCTTCTGGAGGACTGGATAGCACATAGATGTTACGTTGAACCCTATACCCACACTGAGCAGGCAGGTCAAGTTACCTATTTCAAGTTAGTTAGCTGTAATTAAGCCACCAAATAAAGTTCTGCTTCAGTTGTAGAATACCGACCAGTAGTATTTTGGAAAAATTGTTACTTTATAATTAGACTTGGAAGACAGCAATGGACAATACAGAATGTGCATGGCAGTTGAAGTGGGAGACATGACTATAAACCAGCCCTGAATAACACTGAATCTGTGTGTTTCCAGAAGTGTGTATTTCCTTCCCACCCTCTCAGCAAACCTCACTCCAATAAGAACAGTAAAAAAATTGGGAGGACTGCCAGACTGCTGGTTCAGCACAAGGGAAGGAAGAGATGCCTGGTGCTTGTGTCAATAAACTTCACTGTAGGATTCAGAGCTGGAAAATTACCAAGCAATTATTACAGAGTTTTTATCACATCTGGTTCTTTCTTTCCCCGTGGCCCTGATGAACTCTTCAAAAATGGGAAGTTCTGAAACGCAAATCCCATATGCTAGCTCTCCTCAGCACAGATGGTGATGTGGATGGCAAATGCAGCCTGCTCACATCCTGATAACACTCCTGCTCTAGTCAACGTGCTACAGTGGGCTCTGCTCCTGAGATTGGAGCAGGAAAAAAAACTCAGTTCCATCTGCAGTCAAACCATGCAAGCTTGGTGGTGTTAAAAGCATGCATCTGGTTCAATGCTGTGCTATGATCTTTCTTCCAGAATAAGTACATTAGTGTTAAGCAAACAGTGAATGAATTTAAGGCAAAAAGTAAACAGTGCCTGATATTTCAGAGGTACTAAATATTTATGAAATCCAAATCCAAGGGCATTATTTTAAAATGGAAACCCTGTTTGACAGAGAAGTAGTCCCAGTTTTACCTGAAAAAATATGAACGTCATCTTAGACATTAAGGACAAAAAGCCTAAATTGAGACATTTTAAAATTGTTATAGTAAAAAACTCTTTTTGGCCATACTGCAGAGGTGATAACTGTTCCTAATGGGATATTTGAATGCATTCCCAAGTGCTTCTGCCAGACTGAAGTTGTTAGTAGTTTGCCTTTAGAGCATGCTTGGGCTATGTGAACCCATTCCCATTTCTCCTTTCTAACCAGTCCAACACACCTTTTTTCTTGACTAAATAATATAGTGCCTTTGTTTCATGTAGGTATGAAGTGTGTCTACCGGAAACAAAAAGAAAATTCAGAGTAATTTACTAAGCTCTAAAAAGGTATTATCATTTTAACAATCCATGACACTCACTAAAGGCCTGCAAAGCTAGGAATATGTTCAATAGATACAAAAGAAAAGAAGTAATTTTCTTTGGAATCCTGTGAAAAGAGTAAATAACTGTGTTAGTTAAGACCACTCAAGAAATAAATAGGAAATAATAAAACATATGAAAAGCTAAATACCTACTAGCTTAAGTAGGGGAGTAGCAAAAGTCAGTTTACTATGACTGTGGTTATTTTTCTGAACTTAGAATTTGCTACAGGGGAAGAATAACAGATAAAATATCTGTATAAGAGAAGATTCAAAACATAATCTAGAGAATGGATGAACAAATTGTGTGTACTGTGTGTAATATGAGGGTAAAGAGCAGTAATGTTTGCTTCTTGATAGGGAGAAAAACTGTAATCTGGTGTTTTTTAATTAAAGAGTTTGGTTTTGCTTTTCATTATACATGATAAATGAGGATCCTATAGCCAAAGTAATGCTGTCAGTGAAATGATTACAAGATTTTTTATTTTTAATTTATAACCCTCGATGAACTAGCATTTTAGAGAAATGCTTTGTCAGTCAAAGAAAAAATTAAGTCATAAATTAAGATCTGTCAGCTTAGCTCCGTTGTTGTATACTCAAGAGTCCCTTGCAAAACTGGGATGTAGCACAGTTGATACTTGCAATGTTTCCTAGTTTTATTCCTGAAGAATTCCCATAAGTTTATGTAATCTTTAAATAGCTCTGTGAACTAAGGGAAGGGTACAGAATTAATGTAAAATATGGTTTCCACATCCTCATAGACAATATTTGCATTTTTCTGTATCACATTTGCATTTCTCTCATTAAATATAGCATGTGGTTGACAGGTTGGCAGAGCACCAAGGCTGCTTCCTCTTACAGCTGCTTACTAGCTCAGGAATGTACAACAATGGCAGCAAGGCTATACAACCAAGAAAAGACTCCCCACAACAGCAACACTTCTAGAGCTTTAAAATGTGCAGAGCATTACTGAGACATCTGCTTTACATGACACCTTCGTATGACCAGAGGACTGAAATAGGAGCTACTGCTTTTTGTTTGTTAACATCAGATCTCTCCTAGGCTGGTGGGAAGTATGTAGGTCAGGTATAGGCCACATTAGCATGACAAAAGTTTTGGGGGGACAGGAAACTCTTTTCATTCAGTATGGATGCATTGAAGGGTTTACATGATATATACAGATATACGCAAGGATGCCAAGGATCAGAGTCAGGGATGAATTTGACCTTGGATGTGTTTGCTTCCTGAGGACTTAGATATCTCTTTACCAAAAGGAGCAGCTCTAGTTTCAAGATCAGCTTAAACTTTAGCGTATGCCCTAGGCATTTTGAGGTTTGTGGAAAGTGAGCAGAAGCCACTCTGGAAAAAACAAGTGATGAGTAACACACAACTGACAGAACATGAAAATGTTCTACTTCTCACAGCATTGCTTAGTTGTAAGTAGTGTCAAAGTATTAACTCAAATCCACCTCTCCCTGAAAGTGTCTCAGCCTAGGTAAGAACTTTGATGTGGGAATGGTTGTGTAAAGCATGGTGCCTTACCAGAAAGTGGCTGTGGTGGTTTCAGCCATTTGCCTGTCAGGTCCCCTGAGTCTTGCCCTGGCTGACTGAGGTTCTTTTCAGGACTTCATCTAAATAGTGTCAGAGAATAGTTTTGTGTTTTTAAATAAGATATAGATATAACTTAGAAAAATTGTCGAGTTGCTGTAATTTTTTTTTTAACTTCCTGCTTCATATGTTGTTTGGATTGTGTGCTTGCAGCTCAGTTCTATTACAGACCACTGATACCATGGGTGTAGATCAGCACTTCCTTGGCTCCTCTTAATCAGCCTCTCTGCAGGCTTTCCCCTGCTTCAGAATCAGCTTTTGCTGTACCTGTAACTTTTTTCTGGGAACTTTTTTTTGTCTTGGCTTAAGGTAGTTACTCTAGGCCATACAAAAATTCCTCACAACAGTGTAGAAAATTAGTTTATTATGTTGCACAACAGTCTTACACCAAAACATATGCATTGCTCGTGGTTCTCCTTCAGAACTCATGTCCGTTTCTGTCCACTTTTCCTACACTTGTGGTATATTAGCTTTGAACAGTCTCGTGTGAGTAGGAGCCAGTGGCAGAATCATGGTCCCAGGACTAGGGAAGTGATTCTTCCTCTGTACTCAGCACTGGAGAGGCTACACCTCAAGTTCTGTGTCCAGTTCTGAACCTCTCAATGCAGGAAGAACACTGACGGTCTGGAGCATGGCCAGAGGAGGGTAACAGACCTGGTGAAGGATCTGTAGCACAAGTCTTATGAGGAGAGGATGAGGGAGCTGGGGGTGTTTAGCCTAGAGAAAAGGAGGCTCAGGAGACTCTTACCCCTCTCTACAACTGCCTGACAGGAGGCTGTAGCCAGGTGGGGGTTGGTCTTTCTCCAGGCAGCAGCAGGACAAGAGGACACAGCCTCAAGCTGAGCCGGGAGAGGTTTAGGTTGAACATTAGGGAGAAGTTCTTCACAGAAAGGCTAATTAGATATTGGAATGGACTGCCTAGGGTTGTTGTGGATTCCCTGGAGGTGTTTAAAGAAAGACTGGACACACCACTTAGAGCCATCGTTGACATGGGGATGTCTGGTCATAGGTTGGACTCCATGATCTCAAATGTCTTTTTAAACCTTATTTATTCTGTGACTTTACTCTTCTGTAGTATGGAAACCTGCTATGATTCTGCGATTCTGTAATAATCTTGCAAGAGAAACCAATTCCCTGATATATCCTTTTGGATAGATATCATGAGAAGGATGATGGAGAGATTGAAAGCTTTCTTAGACTTATATGTTTTCTAGTAAATACTGGTTTTTACTGTATTATTTTCTTGCTTCTTTCACAATATATTTTAACTTCAGACAGTGGTTGATTTACTGTGAAATTGGGAAGCTTCTTTTTCTAAAAGCAGAGCGTCCTCTCCCTTTTTTGATTCTTTATTCCTTTAACAAAAAATATTCTAAATTTGTCTAGTGTTTGATTCCTTTAAGGAACAAAGAAAGAGAAGTAAGGCCATTGTTGTGTACTTAGTCCTTCTCTGTATCATGGAAACATGTCAAAACTGTTTTGAGGAATCTAGACTCTTCAGACTGAGGTGAGAACAGGAATAATGGAACAAAGATAAGGTCTGTGTACTCCCTGTTATTTCCAGATGTTAATGCTTTGGGTCACAGAGGACATATTCTCTATTGCTTTTGAAATTTTAGCAGCTGAAAAATTTGCTGATTTGTTTGCAGGATGTTACAGACTTTTAGACTAGAAATTGATGACAAGAAACTTCTGATGCCAAAGCTCTTTGGCTTTGCAAGATTCTGGGAGTCTGCTGTTTGTTTAAGGTGGATTGCTCTATCTTTTCATAATAGATAAATAGTAGAGAAAACCCCATTCCTTGGCAAAATTATTGAAGAAAACCTACAAAAGTTGAACACTTGTCAATAGCTAAATTTTCCACTGACATAAAAAATACAGGATTAGTGACTTTGCAATCAGAATGTCCATTGCTTGCACAGCATTAATTTCTACTTGGTTTAAAACTTATGCACTGAGTGGTGCTCAGTTGTGCTGCTGTTGATTTTTAGCCTTTTTTTATGGTGTTTTCAGGTCCAAAGTTCAGTCTTGGAACAGATGAACAGAAGAGCCTGCTTGAAGACATGCCATCTTCAGACACTGACATCAATTTAGAGATATCATTTTCAGAACAGGCAGCTAATCTCAAAGAGAGCTCAGCAGGCAAAATGTACAAAGGTGGAGGGGGTGACACTCTTCTCCCGGTAGGTTTCTTATTTATTCCTCTTTATTTTTAGCTAGAGGTACTGTTTAGGTGATATTTAGCTGAGACTGAGTGAATTAGATTTAGAAGAACATTGTCAGATTTAGCTTTGTAGAGATAGAAGTTCTTAAGGTAAATGATTTTTGAGAATAGTATGCTCAATAACATGAGAATAATTATATTTATGCCTGTTTATGTACTTGTGTGTCTGCAAAAACACGCTCTATATGTAAGCAAAAATGAACTTCTAATATTAAGCTGGACTAAGGCTTAGTGGTGGTTGTACCACTCTCGTTGCTTCATTTGTTTGCATCCCCTTTTTGTATTATCTGAGGGAGATGCTTTACCTCTAATAAAAAGCTCTGCTATAATATAAAAAGGGTTGGTGGATTCCTGTAGAAACCTTATGCAGTTGTCTGATGTGGGTAGGTGAAGGGTGAGAATGAAGAACAGAATTGTCTATAGAATTTAGAGGTCTGAAGTCAAATGGCAGGAAATTAAAGATTAATTTGAACTCAGGTTTTTTTTCCAACTCTTAATAAAAAAAGGCTCTTTTGGAATGAATCCAGAAAAAATCAAAAGAAAATCCTCTAAGGGATTTTGTTATTGATCCTCAGAAATCTCTCTTAGGATCTTTCTCTGCTTAACATTTCATGAACATGCAAAATGTACATATAACTAATGTCTGCTATGAAAACTGTCTTGTTGTTTTTGGTTTTTTTTCCTAACACTGTATGCAAACATGTCTGAGTAAACACAGTTTCTGAAATAATGTTTCCCTGTTCTTCAAACACTTAATTTAGATAAGGACTTGTGCAGTTCTTCAAGTAGTAATTACCCCATGTATCCTAGTTTAAACATTATAAACCAGACACTAATGGATATTTAGAGATGGATTCTAAAGTGTTTGAGTCGTGTTTCTCTAATGCAGCCTATAACAAGGAGATAAAAGCTGTGCTCTAACTTCTGTATATATGCATAATACATACATTAGCTCTACTTCTGGCCAGGGATGTGAAGGATTGCTCAAAGACATGGCTATGGGATTTCTTCTTCAGTTACAAAAGGAGCTGCAAAGTGATGGGAAAAGGAAGAGAGTTACTTATTTAAATCTGTAATATATTGGTTGGTCCTTTATCGTCAGCAGCTATTTTTAAGCAGACGTGTTTGTGCAAGTCAATGAAAGTTCAGGGTGGGGAACTGGCTACTCATCTACCTTTTGTAAATTATGTTTATGTTTTAGCCTGTGCCCTTGTAGTCATGTACCATAACCAGCAATTCAGCTCTGCTATTGCTGGGTTTGCACAGGGTAAGAAAATAATTCATGAGTATAATGTGTCTTTCCAAGTGGAAGAAAGTCTTGTCAAGCTTCCTGCTCTGAGTCATGCATACTTAGAGGCCTGCAGGTGAGAGATGGAGTTAGAAAGTTCAATGAGTTGGGAAGTCTCTCACTCTTTCAACTAAATTCCTTATATCGATCTCTGACTGCAGCCTCTGAATATCTAGTGCAGTAGAAAGGAGCCATGAATAAGTATCCCTGTTCCCTAAATTTATTATTATTTATATGGCAGCCAAATATTTTATTTTGTTTGCACAAATGCAGAAGGATTTCTATACAAATTGTATATGCACAGGATTGTTCATGGACAGCCATTTCCACCACTATCAACTGGAAAAAGATGTAGAAGGTGGAGCGGGAGTATATGGTTGCAAGCAGGACAAATGACAAATACAGATTCTTCTTGGAGGTGTCAAGTAAAAGGACAAGAGTTAATGGACACAAGTGACTAATGGTGAAATTGTTTTTTGCATAGTAAAGAAAGTACCCATGAGAGCATTCCACTGAAACAGGTTCCCACAAGGGTTTACTGGAATTTTCAAAATTCATTTGAACAACAACAATCAGACTTTGAACTTAGCCTTGCTTTGAGCAGCAATTGAATTAAGTGACCTCCAGAAGTCACTGGAAACCTAAATCTTCCTATAATTTTATGATAATCTGCTTTTTAACCTATTTGTGGGATTCTCCTTTGATTTAGACAGTAACAGCCAGCTTCATGATGAAAGTTTGTACCCTGAAAGAAGCACAGCCTTTGAGCTAAGTAATTTGTCATTACTTAGATTATTTACCCTGCTGCCATTCTCTACTTTTAGAATTTCAGACTGCCGAAGGACAAAACAGGTACCACAAAGATTGGTGACCTAGCCCCTCAGGACATGAAGAAAGTCTATTCTTTAGCACTGATTGAATTAACTGCTCTCTATGACATACTTGGGACAGAATTCAAGCAGCAAAAAGCTGTAAAAATCAAAACCAAAGGTAAGTTGATGTTTTGTATTCTGAACCAATTGCATCTGTTTAATCCAATGAAAAAATGCACCTTTTTTTTTTTATGATCTTCCAGCAGAAAATTTATATATAATATATAAGCAGTAACATAGGCCCTAAACAACATTTCATTTTACACCTTAACTCAAGGCAAGCTTTAAACAAGTTCACTGACATAATGTCTCCAGCTCTTTGTCTAAAATTAAAACTGAAGGCAGTCACTGAGCAGATAATCTAAGGAGTGAAGGGTAACTATTTTAGTAGGATGCCATTGCAACAAGAGTTGCTTCACAGAAGTTTGTTTGTACTGATTTATTCCCAAAGGGCATGAGCATGTGCTCTTTGTGGGTATTCTTTTCCTGATACCTGAAGGTAAGTACTGGTTTACTTTCAAAATAGGACTTAATGATTTCAATGGTCTTTTTCAGCCTTTGCAATTCTGTCATTCAGGTGAGTCTACCTGACTTTTGTGCTTTTGTTGCTGCAGGTGGGAGATGCTGGGAGCCTTTTTCACCTGTTTCCTATTCTGTCTGGCACAAATGTCCTGTGTCATATAGGCCTTGCCCATCCAGTATTTTCTTAGGCTATAATGCAGTTGTTATGATGAATGGCACCATATAAAGTGAAGATCTAAACTGTTGCAGAGGAGGCAGACACAGCTGCACCATGTCACTTTCATCTGCAAGCAGTTGGAGCATATATGTAATCATAGTACTTTTCTTGGGAGCGGATGAAGCATGGAAACCAATTTCTTGATGCTAGAGGTTTTCAGTGCTTTGTTTGGTTTTTCTATTTTTGGCTTCTACTAAATGCTTTACAAGAGCTTGAGATGTGTTACCACTTAATCACAAGCCTGCTTTGGCCAAAACTCTGTTGTCAAGGTTCAGTGAATGTGACAGTGCAATAGCTCACTTTAAATAATTGAAAGCAACAGAGAGCATAGAGAGATACACAGCAAGGTACAATAGATTCTTCAGAATATGTTCTTCACTTTACAGTAGTAGTAAACAGCTTTTTTAATACAAAAGGCATACACAGAAACATCAACAAGGCCTTGAATGCATTTTTTTTCTTGCAGAAGTACTTGTGCTGTCACTAATAAACAGAGATAAAGCACTTTCTTCTCTTGTATTTTGGGTCTTACTTATAACTGCTTCTTCTTACAAAATTAATTGTTAATTGAATTTCACTCTCAGCATTATTATCTGAATGGCAGGCATTCATAAAATGGTGAATTGATTAAAAACTTCTTTGAAAGGTAAAAAAAGATAGGCTAGCTCATGGCAATATGTAGGAAGTGGACAATGACATCAGCTTTTCTGCTAAGCTAATCTGCTTTTGCAATGTACTGCCTTCAGTGCCTTGTTGCACTGTCTGACCCTTACCTCCTCACTCCTTAAGTGTTTGGCCAATTGATTCATACAGTGGTGGGTCTATTAATTTTCTCCTTTGTGCTTGAGTATGTAAAGATGATGAAAACATCATTCTTCTGGGGAATGCTCTGCTGTGCCCAGTGCTGCTTTTTTATTGACCTCCTGGAGTTTGTTTCTTCAACTACATTTCAATGGAAACTTTTATTATTTAACAAGGACTTAAACATAATAAAGCTATGGGGTATGGATATTGCCTGTAGGTATGAATCCATTGTATTTTATACATAGACTTTGTATTCTGACAAGAGGTACAAGAACTTCTGGTTTGGCACTGAAATTGATCTTTCTTTGATGTATATCATATTTTCTCAAGGGCTGACAGTTTTTTAGTAATTGCATCTGTTCTGTGTTCAATATTGGCATGGCATCATACCAAGCAGCAGATTTTGACTACTTATATTGTTATATGTTGATCCAGAAAACTTGCACATACAGCAATTTTCAATACTTCTGACAGAGAAGTTCTGTCTCAGCAAACTTTGGATTGGTCATTATTAGCATAGCTCTCTTTAAATGGTTATTCACTTCTGTTCAACTGGGCCATAACACGAGTCCCATTTACATGAAGACTAAGGTTAGTTTGTCATCAGGGCTAAATTAGCAGCAACTGAATTCCTTTTCAAAAACAAGTTTGTACTGCTTTGGCCCTATTATAGAAGTTATTTTTTAACCAAGAATTAACTGTACTTTTGCTGTTTTTAAAAATGGACCTTTAGTGAGTTGGTTGTCTTGCTAGTCTGCTAGTACTGTATAATTCAAAAGCACGGGAGTTGAAAAGCTGTTACTTCCAAACTCTTGTAGAGAGAAGTGTTTAGAACAACTCTGGGTGATAATTGTATTTGTCTCATTTTAGTGAGTTCTGGATATTTTACTCATGACATTTCCATCTCAACTATAATAACTTGCATTGAGTGGTGAAGATCTGCATTGCAGGGTCATCATCACATCCATTCTACAAACCAGAACTAGGCAGATGGTTCATTTAAACAGTTTGCTTTACTCTGCTGCAGAATATGTGGATGGCAATTTGAAGTCAAAACAGAAAACTCCCGAGGAAGAGATGATGAATCCTTTTAGCCAGAATGTTTTGTGTAATAACTTGATTGTCAAAGACATTAAAACACTTTAAACGAAAGGTCAATAGCTCTGAATGCATTGAATAGACTTACTGCTTCAGAAATGTGGTTTTATGCCAGTATCTCATGTACTGGAAAAGATGTGGATAATATCTCAGTTTCTTTTGCTTTATTTTTCAGACTCTGGCTTGTTTGGTGTCCCACTGTCACTTTTACTGGAACAGGATCAGAAGAAGGTCCCAGGAACCAAAATCCCACTGATTTTTCAGAAGGTAAATAGGCATGAAGAAGTTCTTCTTACATACATGCAAAATGGCAAAAACATAGCATTTATTCCTGGATTTATTGGTTTCCTGTAGCTGTTTTCAGTATAATACTCTAATCCATCCAAGTTACTGTAAATTTTAATTCCAACTTTACTTACTAATTCTGTAAATGTGATATTTTGCATTGCATCAGACCTATTTTGAATTCAAGAAATAAACTCACAAGGCAGGTGCTTTTCCAGAAGACTTGTTGCTTCAGTACAAAGGGATATGCCTTTGCCCATATTGTGTCATGGTAATGGGAGAGATAATTGGAAAGAAGATGGAGACTCTTGATTTGTTGCCCACGCATAGCACATCTCATTTCATTAGAAGAAAATAAAACACTGTGTGTGGACCTGTCCTAACACTGACAGAAACTCAGTGCTCCATCATCACCATTTCACTCTGTTTGTAGAGATGCTTTTTAATTTTTGAGAAGCAGAAATCTCAAAGTAGTTTTGCATCACAGTCTGAAAACTACCACTGTGTGATTCATGCCAGAAATTGCTTTCTCAGGATCATAAAAACACATTTCTGGAAAAGATACTATCTATAAACTGAGAAATCAAATTGCAAACAGTGATTGATCACTCTGCTATCCTAGCAACATCAAAAATTCTACATAAACATTAATATCTTATAGATGTGATTTGTTTTGGAAGTTGCAGACATCAATTGGAATACAGTTTTACTTCAAATAAGAATATGAAAATAAAAAGTTTCCCATTTCTTCAGCTTGTTCTCAGCAGCATGTGCTTTCCAAAAATGGGAGATTTAAATAAAGTGTAAGAAAGCAATTTTGTTCATTCTTTTAAAGACATCTTGTTTATCACTGAAATGAAACAAAGCAAGCTAACAGGAAGGCTGCTTAATTAAAAATAAAAATACATCTAGTTTTTATTTCACTGAGGAATTTAAATTTAAAATAATAACATAATTTAGTCAGGGGTTTTGCAACTGGAAAATCTGGCAGTAATAGCAATTCATGTGTTGTCATCAGAATCCAGTCTCTGGCCTGCTGCTAAAGCCATACAAAGCAGCCCTGATAGAGATGGAGAGGGGATTTCCCACAGGCAGGAGGTTGGTGGTGGCCAGAGGCTACCTCTTGCTGTTTGCTGAGGGGAGTGAGTGTTCGTGAAGGAGTAGTGGCCACCAGAACTTGCCTTCCCCAGAAGTGGTGATGATGGCAGGTCACACACTGCCCACAGCGTCTTTGTGCCCAGCAGATGTGAGTAGCAGGCACTGATTTGGTGTAAGCTAGGTACAGGATGGGTTGAATGAGGCCAGTTGGCACTTTTTTTTTTCTTTTTTTAACCAGGGAAAATGCACTAGGGTGACACTTCTAGTGCTGTTCTCTAAATTTGTGGGGTTTGCTGTCCAATCTTTATTATGACATTTATCTGTTACATAAATGCAGTGGTAGGTAAACTCCCTTTAATTTCTGTAACTGGAAAAAACTCTGTTGCATAATTTTTCTTACTGAAGCACTGGTGCAGGAAGGCATGTAACAAAGGCACTGCCCTAGTTAAACATTGTGGGAACTATTTGTGCTGAAATTATGTCATCAGCTTTTGACGTTTAGAGATTTGTTTTAAATACTCTTAAATCCATCCTTCAGTGAATATTTCTAGGCATATTATTTAGGGAAAAATATGATACAAGTTTTAAGTACTTTTATGGAATTTCTGCAAATTTATCCGTGTGAAGGGCTGCAAACTTTTGAGTCTGTTAGGAGAATGTCAGAATTTGCAAATCAGAGGCTTCTTGAATGCCTAGAAATCTGTAGTTCTCTTCTTGTAAAGTCCTAGAGTATTCATGAGATGTTACCTTAATTATTTTGATTTCTTTTGATTTGGAGACATTTTAACAAGGGTAGTGATTGGGATATAATTTTGAAGCCACAGTAATATTTGAAAAGAATTCTTCAGTCTTCGGAGGAGGCTTGAAGGAGGTAAAAACCATACAGGTTTCTTTTTTAATAAAATAAACAAACTTTTCCTTAATAGTACTCATAAAAATGTGTAAGAACCACATTGAAGTTTTCTTCTACAAGAACTGTAATGCATTTGCAAACTGTGTTAAAACCTCTGCTTGTTACAAATCTGTGTACACAAATGCATATGCACAGAGAGGTAGAAGCATAAAGGCTTCAATATATCAGAACTCTCTGCCAGTAATTTTTAACTGGCATCTTTGCTCATGCCAATTTGGTTTGTGTTTGACAGCTGATTGCCCAGATAGAAGAGACAACACTGGAAACAGAGGGACTTCTTAGAATACCAGGAGTTTCAACACGAGTAAAGGTAAAACATTGCACAGGTCCCCCAAATGCACATCCCCCAAAATGTATGTGTGGTTGCTGAATTTATTTTGTCATACAAATTATATTTTAGCATCCCATTGTTATTAAAATCTTTAAAAACCAAAAGCAAAATTACTTTACAAGTAAAACTGAATTATGTTGGCCAGAGAAATTATGCTTTCACTCAGTGTAGTTTTGGGGAAAGACTGGAGTTTAAGTTCGAAGGAGAGTCAAAGCTACATTTCAAATTCAGTTGTGCCAAAATCTTATTAATTCTTGGCATGATATTTCCAGCCTTTTGCTTTTTTCCCTGAACCAGTTTAATAATCTGAACAGTTCATACACAGTCTTTCTACCCCAGGAGGAAGCTTTTCCCTGGCATTGTGAGCCTTTTTTAATAGCTAGACTTAACCTACGTTACAGGGCAAGGCAGGCAGCGTGCACTGAAGAACCTCTCACATTTATTTTTATGAACAGCAATATAAGTGCTCGGCTCGCCGAGCGCAATCTTGTTAGGCACGTCTGTGCACAGCGACACTTCGCAGGGCGAGTGCCAGTTACATGCAGACTCTTCCCCAGTATTTGCCTTAATGTAGGGAGCTAAATACACTGTGTGATTCATGCCAAGGCTCAATGTGTTAAAAAGACGGTCTGAACTGGCCTTAAATTCTAAACAGAAAGGACCATTTAAGTGGATTCAGCTGTCCAAAGATGTCTGCCAGCTTCTGTTGTGTAGAACTTGGTCCAGCTGCTGGTTCATTAGAAACAACTAAAAGAAGGGAATATTGTGGAAATTGGGTTTGTTTATTTACCAGTAACTAAGATACGATTTTTTTTTCAATTTTCCTCCATTCTTTATTTTTCACTTAACATTGGTTCTGCAAACTGGAGTGATTTCTTAGTGATTTTGTGTATTTGTTTGTTCTTTGATTTTATTAGCTTAATAAAATTTCCCAGGCAGTGGCTCATTCACTATTTGGCTTTCATTTATTTTTAACCTCTCTATTTGCATGAACTACTTATTTAAATTAAGCAATAGTTTTGTTAGCAAATAAGTTCCTTTAGTTATTCTAATAGAAAGTTTTTTACAAAGCAAGGAATTTAGCATCCTAAAGAACTGAAATTTTCCCTTAATTTTCTTAAACAGAAAAAAACATATTTTCCTAATTGTATAGTTTTATAGAAAGACACAGAAAAATACTTTGCTATCATATTCTATAGATTTTAAGGTTATTTTTAAAGTGCATTGGATATACCCCATAGCCAAATATATTTACTTTAAAATGTAGGCATTGGAGCACTAGGACACATAGTTGAAATTTCTGCCTTAGCCTCTCAGTAAGTGCCGTATTAAACATATAGATGCATAATTGTATCTATAGGTTTAATACGGCACTTACTGCAGTGATTTGCTCTGAATGTGATGGAGAAGGTGATGAGTCTCAGAGGGAGAATTTCCATCTGTTTCTAAAGCTTGCTATTTTTGATGATCAGGAAATCCTACCCACTTAACTTTAGACATCTGAATTATGACTGTTGCACATTTGAACCTCCAATATAGTCAGTGGAGACAGAAGATCTCTCTGGAGAACAGTCGAGAATATCCAACTTTTATATCAAACTAACTGTCCACATTTTCTTTGTAAGTAGATCCATTTTTGACTTGGACAAAGTTAAATTTAATGAGAAGGGTGTCTTAAAAATGTATCTAATGTATCCTCTGTTCAATTTGCCCCTCTTGTCCAGATAAATAATTATGCCCATATTTTTCCACAGCACATATTTTACAAAACATGCCAGTGTCTCTGTCCTCCTTTTCTGTCCAGAATATCAGAGATAAAAGAAAGGAGGGACCTGTGAGAGACCTGTGCCTCAGGGCCCCTGGCACTATACTGAGGTTACTTTTCACTCTACCAGACTAAAAAAAATAAATGAAGAGGGTGTAAGATCAGAACTGATACTTAGCAATGGATGAAGAAATACTTGGTCTTTGCAGTGTGTTCCTATTTGTGCATCTGTGAAAGGCCAGAAGGGTGATGTCTGCTGCCAATAGTATCCCATTCTTTTCCAGCCCCAGAGTTATGACCTTCCACTGAGATTTTCAGAGCTCTTTACTGTAAAACTTCATGATTTGCAGGACAGTCTGCTTCCACACAGGACACGTTTGACACCCCATGCTAGGCAAAGCTGTATGTGCCCAGCAACATGGAATTTCCCTGTAGATGGCAAGACATTCAGCTATTCAGTTACACAAATCCTTCCTTGTGTTTTAAAGAGAGAACCAGCCTCACCTTAGTGTATATTTTGATAAGAAGCTGTGTGTCAACACTCATAATTGCTTTATTTGTTTATGAAAATGGCCATGCATGCACTGCAGCACCACCCTTGGGTAGCAGTTTCAGAATTGCTTTGTGTATCAGTCTTAAAATTTGGGCGGAGGGGAAGTCATGACCCTTATGTGCTTGAGTATGATACCTGTTTCTTACTGTGTATTTATTCCATATGGCACTTGCTCAGGCCCATGGGATTTTTTCCCATATGATTTGACTGCTGCCTGTTAATGTGTGTTTGCTTGCAGTACTTCTGATCCCACATTTATCTGTTTTGTAGCAAAAGACCAGCAGCAATTGGAGTTAAGCGATATTTCAGATGTCCTTCCTCCCTTTTCAAAGTGTGGAAAGTATTGCTGTGTGTATAACGTGTGACTTCAGCAGCCAAATATTACTGGTGCTCTCTGTATCCATTGCATTTCAGGGTCTTTGCCAAGAACTGGAAGCAAAATTTTATGAAGGGACTTTCAACTGGGAAAATGTGAAGCAACATGATGCAGCAAGTCTTTTAAAACTCTTCATCCGTGAACTGCCTCAGCCACTCCTCACTGTAGAATATCTCAAAGCTTTCCAAGATGTGCAGAGTGAGTAGTGTCCTTTCTGTCTCTGCTGAAAGAATTGATAGCCGTGCAAAGAAGTGCCTCTTTGCTAAGAAGCAAATTGAATAACAACAATATGAGTTCTCCTGGGAAAAGATGGGCATAATTTTGCTACTGTGCAAATAGCATTTTTCATGTAACAGCTATTTTAATAGCTTACACATACTATGAAAGCACATTTTCACTTCTTAATGTTTCTGATAGTAGTTAAGGGGTATACAAGGGTTACACAGAAAATGTATATTACAGTATTAGTTTATAAGTAGTGTTTGCTTCAAAAGAAAACCATAACAAAGATAAGCAGCTCTTCAGGAAATACAACAAGTGATAATTTATACTGTTTAGGGTCTTTTATCCATTTATAAGAGGAGAAGTTAGAGCAGAATAGTCAGAACTACTGGTAGTCTGTGATCCCTTGAGATCTGTAAGTTCTTGTGAAAATGCCCTCTTTGCCAACTGGTTACAATACAGCAAACATACCAGCTTTAACAGAAGAGAGTGGGGTTGGTGATAATGAATCCGGAGTGAGAACCCACATACATTAACTCCCCAGTCAACACAGGACTGCAAGTTCTATTTCCCTTGCCTGCAGGCAGAGCAATGGCTCATTTCTAAGAGGAGCTTTCATAGAGAATGGTTCATATGGGGATTAAACCATCAACCTTGGCATTATTAGCACCATGCTTCAACCAACTGAGCTAAATGCAGGATCAGAGAATTCACATGGACAGACAGACTGACAAATATTCTTAAAAATTCTTGACTTCTGTGTCAAGTCTCCCAGGTCTGAGCTGCCTTTCAATGCTGTCAGGTTAGTTGGAGTAGGGGGCTGGTGCTTTGGCCTGCTACACATTGTTGTTGATTTTGCAGTACTGAGTGTCAAGTTAAAACTGGCCAGAACACTTTCAGATGGTGCTGGCAGCAAAGAGCTCTACAAGGTTGTTCCATTTACTGGATAGTGATTGGAGCCAGGTGGGTTTCTGCTTGTGCTCCTGAGCTGTCTGAAGGCTTATGTGGTTTTACTTACCCAGAAGTACTCAGATGCCAGGATCCAAACCACTTTCTATACTGAACGAAAGGACTTGCTTCAAAACAGACACAGCACTTCATAGACTCCTGTTGTTTAAATAGTTTGTCATGTTGGTTGCATGCAATAAGATTAGTGTAGAGACAAAGAACCATCTTTGTGACGGTAATCAGTATTTTTCATGATACCGTGACTAAGTAGTGTAGTTAGAATTAAATATTTAAAGAACATAAATGGAACAATTTAATTTGCTAATTTAAATAATGTAAGCAACTAAAATTCAGTTGTTACTTAGGTAAGCAGACAGAAACTCTTCATTTAAGTAATGAATTTTAATTGTTTTGGAATTGTATTTTTGCTTATGTTCCTAGGAAGAGATTGATTCTCATTACTTTTTTTGAATATTGTGACATATGGTGTTTTGAAACTAAACTTAAGCCTCACTTTTAATGTATGTCTTTCTAAAGCAGGTAGATAACGTTACTCACTACTTGATGTTTTAAATGGCTATACAATTTGCCACTCATTTCTTCAGATCCTTAATTTTTGGTATGGTAGAAGGTAGTCAGCAAGGGTTTTTTTTATTTCATCAATGAACTTTTATTTTTGTTTGGTGGTATATCCTGAATTGATTTTGATGAAAGGTATTGGGAATACCAGTTGGAATCTCAGCAGGATGCATGAGAACATCCCTGTTGAATTTTGAAATCATGTGATAAAACTATGTTGTGCAATTATCTCCTTCTTCACTTGTTTTATGCATGGCCTGATTCATTGGGAATCTTCTGAGAAGACTTGCCAGAGCTTGTACTCTAAAGCATGACAGGAGGAAGTTTATCACAAGTGACAAATGTGGCGCTTTCTGCAGTTCCAGAATGTAGGAGCTCTTCTAGGAGATGGAGGAGTGTAGGGATGCATTCATTGTGCAGCTTGGGTGAATGATGCACCACTGAGCAATTGGTAAAAGGCAGAAGCAACGTTACTTTTCTTTAATTATAGCTTGCCTCATTTGGTACAACACTCTCTGCTGTAGATACATGTTAAGCTTCTCTGCTCTTGATTTTATCCCTTCTGGTTTGCCATTGCAGCTGCTGTTGGTTATGTCGCTGGAGACCTCCCTTACTCAGTTACATGTGGTATTCATTCTGTGTGGGTGACTTGGGAGATCGTGCGACTCTGAAGGCAACCAGAGAAACTGTGAAAGCAGTGTTGAATATACCCTTTGGTGTGTTGGGGCACAGGCTCAGAAAGGGAAGAACAGTTAGCTATTCCTTCTTGTATCATAGCAAAATTAAGAAGGAATCACAAGGCATCTAGAAAACATTGCCAAAAGACTGCTGAGTCACACACCAACTGAATCCTAAAAGAATATTTAGAAATAAGTATCAGAAAACCAGCATCTGCCAGTCCTTTGTCATGCTATGATAATTAGCCATGTGTATGCATTTAGCATTTCGCAAAAAGTTTCAACTTAGAATTTGTGCTTTTTGAAGAGTACAAATAACAATTTCAAAATCCTGAGGTCTGTGTGCTTTATTGGCAGATCTCCCAACGAGGAAACAGCAACTGCAAGCTTTGAATCTTTTGGTTATCCTTCTACCTGAAGCAAACAGAGACACTCTGAAGGTTAGAATTGTTAATACTGTTTTCCTGCATAAATGTTTTCTCTATTTCTATCAATCTACTGTAATGAATGCTGTTGTCTTTGTATTTCAGTTCAAAGTTAATGCTGAAACTACTGATTCTTTTTATTCCCCCATATTTCACATAACTTTGGGAGAAAAAAACAACTTAGGGACCTAATTCCTCCCAAATGACTTTAAAGAATGTGACTTGACATTTTTCCAGGATTGCAATAGTAATCTCTCTTTTCTCTCAATAGTTTTGCTCCCTTTTTTTTGCATCTGTCATTATTTCCAGTACAAAAAATAAACAATGTTAGAATACGATGAATGTGAGTTTCCTTTTATGAAGTGGGTTTAGCTCTTCATTTTTATGCCTCACTTTTCTCTGTGCTCTCAATAAACTAGACATTTACACTTCCTGTTGCTATTTGTAGCATATTACATGGATTCTTCCAGTTTGTGCTTGTCCTTTTGTAGAAAAGCTATTAATGTTTTTTTTTTTTTCAGAATATGCTTACTGTTAGAGCTGTTACAATCAAGAATGAATGCAGGATTTGTGTAGAATGCAGAGCATCATCTATTACAGGCAAAAATCCTACTAGGTCTTACTGTTCAAACAGGACTTTGAGTTGATTATTGTGTGGAGGCAGTCAAGAAGGCTGAGCTACAAATATCTGGAACCAAATTAATTGAAAATTGCCAGTTTTTCACTGGCTGTCATTCACAATGCAGTGCTTTACTCGTGAATTGCTTACCTTACAGAATTAGCCACTCCATGTTTCCATAACCATGACAGCTGGCACTATTGAGTTCACTTTCAGTTTAACAAATGCCAACAGTAATGTCTTCGCAAGCATCTGTGGGATGCTGCTTATACACCTACATAACAAAGGCTTTGAAACAAACCTTACTGTGCAGGGCCTCAAAGTCGCATGAATGCTTTTGCAAATGCTACCCACAAAAACAAGAAGAATGTTTTACTTCATTACTTGAAGGAAACAAAACTTGCATTACTGTTCTGTGGATAAATATAGTCACACTTCTATTATTGATTGCTTTTAATGTGGTTTTATTAGGAGTTAAGAGCTTTTTCAAAAAAAATGCAACATTGTGTTTCACTCATATGTTCATTTTCAACTCTGCACGTGCTTCACAATTCACATACAGAGGTGGGCTGAAAGTCCTGCTCTTATTTCAGGTACTGCTTGAATTCCTCCAAAGAGTAATTGATCACCGAGACAAAAATAAGATGACGTTGAAGAATGTTGCGATGGTGATGGCACCAAACCTTTTCACATTTCATGGGTTTGGCTCAAAGACTATTGAACAAAGCGAGTTTGTTATGGCAGTTGGGACAGCAAATGTCATGCGCTTTATGATTCAGTACCAAAAACTTCTCTGGACAGTAAGTGTGTTTTTAGGCGGGGGTGGAAGATGATAAATTTCACAACAGGGTATCTGAATAGAGAAGTCATATGAAGTTACATCCATGATTTAGAAAAGGATCAGATGGATCCAGCTGAGTTCTTGGTCATGGGTAGCTCTTATGGGAGTAAAACAAAAATATTACATCTGATGTTAAGCTCTGGTGGTCAGAGTTTTAATATTGTATGTACTACAGGTGAACTCAAAAATAAGTCGTTGGGGAATATGTATATTTGGTCTATCAGTATATATTGCTGTGGGCAATTCTTTTTGGCTTAGAGATATTAGCAGGAAACACAGTGTTTGAACTCATTGCCCTTTTGGGCCAAACTTAGTATTATATAAAACATGTTTTAATAAAGCATGAAGTTGTGTCATGGTCTTAAGCAAAGCTCTAGCTTGGACAAACTGGACAAGTTGGAGATGTGTTGTCCATCAGCAACTTGAAACAATTTTGACCTATGTTGCATGTGAGGAAAAGTAATTAGCTCCATTTTGCATACTGACGAGTGAATGTTTTTGACTGACAAAAGTAAAAACGCCGTATGATTCCACATCTCTTCCCCTAAGCAGTTATAGAATAGAATATTTTATCACAAATTGAGTGGTTTTAAAACTGATTCACAGTTTTATATTATTTGAATCTACAGTTATTACTGGAAAAAAACACTGTTTTTGAGTTCTACCTGATAATCTGGCCACTTAGAAAATTTTGGTAAGAAAATTATGCAGTTATTCATGCTTACTCTATATTTATTTTATCTAGATTCCAAAGTTTATTGTTAACCAAGTGAGAAAACAAAATGCTGAAAGCCCGAAGAAGGAGAAAAAGGACAAAGCTATGAAGAAACTTCTGAAAAAGATGGCATATGACCGGGAAAAGCATGAGAAACAGGAGAAGACTCCTAATGATGTAAGCAAACATACATCTGAAATGCTTTATGAATAGGATTGTAATTTTTAGTGAAAAAGTGGATGTAGCAGAGGGGATATATACATTTTTTAATTGAGACTGTCAATAGATAGCAACTCAGTGTAGATTTCACAGTTTGTGGGTTACTGACATGACACATTTAGAGGTTTGTACTGGTTTTTTCTTTGGCTTCACAGAATTTTCAGGATATTTCTCTTCTGAAAAATGATAAGCACTGAACACTTTGTCCTAACTAGCTGTCTTTAGCTAGAACATGCACAACCTGCCCAACCCAAGAAACCCCAAAGGAAGAAACAAATGTGAAAAACTGATAAACTGCTTCTTATGCAGCTACTGTCCAAGTGGCTACTGCCAGCCTACCCCAGTGTATATAACCCACAGTTCAGTATCTCTCTCCTTTAGGAAATTGGCTTCTGCCATACCCATCAGTGATGTCAAGGCATAAGTTTCAGCATAACACTCTTCACACACTCCTTAAAATACAAAAATACTGTGGCAATTGTAGGGTTAATTTTTCCTGTAGTTCAGAAAGATTTTAGTTGAGCTGTTCCCACTGACATCAAAACTTTAAAAATACATCTTGTGCATGTTGAAATTGTTGATAATTTTTATAATTATGATTTTTTTGAAACTTTTTAGCCTATACAATATAGTACCTTAATTATAAAGCATTTGAAATACATTATTCCAAAGTTAGTTTAAATACACGAACAGGTAATACCAAATACGTGTATTCTGGTACCATAATGAAAACGTATCAGATTTGGGTGGTATGAACGTATCCCCTTGTGGGTTGAAATCACAGTGAAGATTCTGGTGAGGTAGAGTCATCTTGTGGTCGCTGGTAGAAATGCAGTCTGCTCTGAGCAGTCTGGTTTTCTTACAAAGTGTGTGTATGTCAGACTGCTACCAAGAGAAGGGTTGTCATATTCTTATAAAGGCATTTTTTAAGCTTTTAAGCCAAAGCAAATAGAATGTGTCAAATGAATATGCTATATATCCAGAATCTGCTGGAGAATTACATTTCAGTGTTTCTACCTTGTTTTGTATGCAGTATTTGACAGGTATCCTTATGTCCAAAATTGATTAATTCCCCAGGGATCACTTTGCCTTGCCTTGGTATCTGTCTATATTCAGGAATCTTTACACCAAATGAATTGCATATGATTTTAAAATAATTAAACACTGGAATTTGTTTTTCTTGGTCTAATAGGAAAATAATCGAATTGAATTCACTTGAGTCAATGTGATGACACTTAATGCTGCCATCCTGTGTTCAACACCTAAATAGCAGCAAATGCACTGGAAAAAGTAAATGCCGTTTCAAGTTCAGATATTAGATTTTTTTTTATATAATTCAGTGCAAAGATATGTCTTTTTAATCCACTGGGGAGTTAGGGTTGAGGTCTTTTAGAGTAAATTATGCCTTTCTAATCTACTTGGGATATAGAACTGAAGCCACATGTAATATGCTTATTCAGATGTAAATGTAAAGTTACTATTCAATGATTTTTTTAAGCCCTAGAATTCTGTGGAGATTTTTGTCAAAATTAAATGGTACAATATTTTACAAATCCTTCATACTTATTGCAAGCATTCAGTAATTTTGGGTGCTTGAGAACATATTAATCTTAAAATCATATTCACAAATTGATAAAGCTTAATTGTGAATGACAATTTATACATTTTTCAAGTAAAAAAATGTCTTATTCTTTCAGAAAAAATTATTTGGGTTTTCCTTCTCCCTAGTTTTCAATTCATACTGCTTTAATTTACAAATGAGGTAAATTTCCCGTGCAGTTCTTGAACTATATTTAAATATCAGGTGGCAAGTGAGGCACCCAGACATGGTGAATTTCCCACTCCAGGGAAACATGTTTGAAACTTTCATAGAATTTACAGAATCTCTAGGTTGGAAGAGACCTTAAAGATCATAGAGTCCAACTCATGCCCTAACACCTCAACTAAAACATGGCACCAAGTTCCACATCCAGTCTTTTTTTAAACATTATACCTAATTAAGTTGTGTGCTGCCGAATAAAGCTGAGGAAAAATGTCTATTTTCTAACACTTGCTGTGGCACCCTACATGATTAAACATAGATGGGCAGAACCTGAGTCACCTCCATATTCTCCAGAAATAACTCAGTATCTGAATTCTTATTAGCAGCTCATTTGGATAAAATTTCATATTAGCTCTGATAAGGCCTCTCTATCAATCACATTTCCCCTCTGAGACAGAGGTTAAAAAGCATTTACTGCAAACTACAGGTGAGATCTCTGTACAGTGTTGAGAGTGGTTAATATTAGAGGGCTTGCAAGGGTTAATTGCTTTTTGGAATACCTATGCATACTTATGGCCCCAAGTCAGTGTTGGGGATTAAGTCTTTGTGTTGGTGTTGGGCTTGAATAATGCTCTAGACAGACAAAGAAAGATGCCCTCAGGACTGGAAATTTACCTACTGCCTTTAGTCACATTTCTAGCATCTATCATGTATTCCTCTGTATGGTGCAATTGTTCCAAAAAAGGGTGATATCATGTGAGCAGCACAACAGCACAACAGGGCTGAGCTACTGCAGGTTATAAAACCCATTGTATCCCACACCCTTCTTTTGCATGATCTGTTTGAATTTACTCAGAATAACCTTTTGACTTCTGCTGAATATGTCACTCATTGCAGTGCCAGATTATTTACTTTAAAAAAAATTGCTACCTGCTAAATAATTTCTCTGTGTATGGTTTTCTAGTTTTTTGTCCCAAACTAGGTGCAGTATTTTTCAGCCCAAAGAGAACAACTCCTTTGAATTTCTTTCAGCCTTTGCTTTGCATGTAGCAAGAACCTTTTGAAAATCAGTTTTGTTCTTCATAATGTTCATGCCGCATACCTGCTTGGTATACTTTACACCTTTAATAAGTATGCATAATATTCCTTAATTATGAAAATATTGCATAGTCACATTTCTCTCTGCAGTGTGAAAAATATTCAAGTGGGACACGAAAAATGGATTAGAAGAAACTGGGAGAGACTTACACAGTTTCTCATACCTAACTGGGAGAGATCTACCCAGTGGATCCTGTAGCCAGGCAGCTGCTTTTCTTCTCTGTGATATACAGATTCTAAGCCCCTCTGAAAAGGAAGGGTTTGAAGAAGATTAGTACCTCACAGGTGACTGCTGTTCCTGCTGCAGACTAAATGTTGTAGGCCAATGTATTTTCCATCAAGCAAAGATGTTCTGTCTTCAGTTTTTTTAATAATGCAAGTGCCTAATTCAGCCAGGGGTTGCAGTGTTTTAAATCTGACCTGAGAGGGCCTGTGAAGCAGGGGAGGAAACTTGCAAACTGAGTAGCATTGGTGACCCACTCTTCAGTGGGTTGTCAGTCCTCTTGTAGGTTCATAGCTTAATATGTTGTGATATGAAGCCCCTCACTTGGGTATTTTGGACTGTGCTGTGCAGAGAATAGGCCCTGTCATTCAGCTCTTAGAGGGTTTAGGCCACATTTTCTTTCCCATCAACTTGCACTGTGTATTGGCTAGGGGATGCTAAGGTTCTACTCTCTATATAGTTTGGCAGCATGAACATATTGTGCAGCTGAGCATGATTTCTCCTGGAAATGCAGGTGGTGAAAGTGGCAAAATGCATTAATTAGCTGAGCTAATAATGATTCTCTGTGAATAAACAAAGTAATTATTCTGTTTGATCTGTGACCATAATGTTAGAGCTCTGTGGACATTTCTTGTTCTTTTTCTCATATACTCAAAGTGGACTGCTTTTTAAATAATTTATCATATGCCTGCTGTGTAGCAAAGAAAAAAAAAAGTTATCCAGCTGAAAGTTGGAGAAATTCCTATAAAATCAGCTGAGACACAATTATCAAGAAATGTATACAAAAATGAAAGCTAGTTGAAATTTACCATTTTGAATTTGGTGGAAGACCAGATAGGGACATCTATAAACAATCATTTCATCCTTAAAAATGTAATTTCTTTTTGCCAGGATCCCAAAAGTTTGGAAAGAGACAAAAAAATTTTTAGCAGGATTTACTACCTAGCAGATGGCTATAGACACTGGTTCTATAGGTGGGGGTCTTAAAGAACAGATGTGACAAATTTAATCTAGGGGAAATCTCATAGCGATCTCTTGCAATCTTACGAGTCTCTGATTCCACAATTAGTACATAGCAAATTCTCAGTATGATAATTCATACTGCTTTAGACAGAAATAGTTATGATGTCTAGTATTTTTAAATTGATAAATAATAAGACCGGACACAAAAGGATTGTTTGGTTAAAATTGCTTACTGTAACTCATCATTTGTGTAGTAATGAGCCTTCATCTGTCTCAGGAAGCTGTTCTTGTGATTCTGCTCACGTTTGTACTTGTTCTATACTCATTTAACTCTGATGGTTTCAGAGAAGCTATTCTAGATTCACAGGTGCCCAGATTTATTCATTGATTATGGAAGAAAAAAATGTTCAGCCTTGCAACTGGGTAAATGGAGATGTGTGTGGTGGGAAAGGAGACAATGAACTGTCATAATCAACTTTGAATGCAGAGATCCTTACTTTCTTTTCCTTTCAAAATGAGTAGGTTTGGGTAAATGATAATGTTATAGGAATAGAAATGTTTCTAGGAACAGAAATTAGGACCTTATTCACAAATAAATTATGTCTTTTCTAACTTCAAATGTCATGTACCTGCAAGTGGAACAGAAAAGATGTCCTTTATCCTCCTTTGTAGCTAATATGATTAGTATTCATCATCAAGGACTTGTAGGTTGAAATAAAATACAAATCCATTATATAATCAGACTATTATATAGGGCAGGTTGCCTAGCTGAATATATTCTGGACAATAAGAAATAGGAAGAAAAACCTGCAGTAGTGAATATCTGGTTTTATATCTGTTTTTAAAAATGAAATTTATTAAAAGGAAAGAAGAATCCTTTAAAGTAGACTGATCCACCACCATCAGTACTTTGTGTGTTTTTGGTTTTTTTTTTTGGTTTTTTTTTTTTTTTTTTTTTTTTTTTTTTTTTTTTTTTTTTTTTTTTTTTTTTTTTTTTTTTTGGGGGGGGCAGGAAGTTCAGATTAAATGGAACTGGACAGGTTTCTCCCAGAAGTTTTGGCAGAGGGTTGGTGTGGTGGCACTGCCTGGTTTTCATGCCTGCAGGAAGAAATTTCCATATCAGTGTCACATGCTTCTTATAATATCAAAGGGTGTTCTTAATATAGAATAATTATTATTGTTATTCTTAACATCTTTGAAAAATAATTGAACACTATTGCTCCTTTGTTCTGAAGTTCTCCCTCTTGTTAAAAAGAGCTTTGAAGGTCGGATGTAATTTACTGAACTGCTGCGTAGTTATTGTATGTTTGTAGAGAAGTGAAGTAAATAGTGAAGTGCAGAGCACTGTACTTACTTATTCCACACTGTATTTTGAGAAGCTCATCAAAGCCAGCTGCTAGCAGCTTTGTTCCACCACTCTTATTGCTTTGCAGACTGATGTTCCTCAGGGAGTGATACGGGTGCAAGCGCCTCATCTTTCCAAAGTTTCCATGGCAATACAGCTGACAGAAGAACTGAAAGCTGGTGATATAGTAGCCAGGTTTCTCAGCCAGAAAAGGTATAAACACATCTTTGTTTTGTTATCGTGTCGGGAGAAGTGTCTCTTCATTTATTATATCAAGAAAAAAGTTTTAAAATACTCAAAGTCCGGGTCAGTTCATGAAATGTTTGGCTGAATTTAGCCATCAAAATACACGCTTGAGGAATTAATGCTTTTATATGTTATTAAAGCTCAGGAAGCCTTTAGGAATACATGAGTGCTGTTAGTAAAAAATTAATTGTTATTTAATCTGATGGGTCAGGAATAGTTTTGTAATTTTGTGAGGACAAGTCAGAAGGGAACTTCAAGAAAACAGAGGAATGAGGTAAGAAGAAAGATTTTTTTTTTTTAAAATAATGAATTTATTATGTAAATATATAATGCATTTATATATATAAATCTATTTAAAATGCAAGCATCATAAAGTCACCCCCAGGACATGCATTTCTGTATAACACCATAATAGGTACTGGAGTATAATCATGTGAAAATGTCACACACATTAAATTATTTAAAACAAAAGCTACATTTTAGTAATTCAAATCCATTTAGAAATGGAGAAATTTTAAGCAATCTTTTGAAAAAAAATAAAATTAATGCACATATTCATCATATCTAGCTATTGATCTAAAGCAATAATATGATACACTAGTTGAGATTAAGAAGCTGCTTTTTCCTAAATGCTGTTCTTAGAGTTTTACACCATTGTCAGAAAGTTATTTTCTAGCTGGGCTTTAGTATATATTATTACAATTAAGCAGTGAGAATAATAGAATCCCTTTTTAATATAGGGACTTCATTTTTCCACTGTCTGTTTTTTACTTCTTTTAGTTGCAGTACAATTAAATCCAGCAAGAATGTGTTTTTTTCCCACCCAACCAGAATGCTTTTTCTGAAATATGGCATATTTGAGGGAAATACTTATTTTTGCAGCAGCAGTAAAAGAAAAATCAGAGGGTAAATATCAAGCTACTTGCTAATAACAATAAAATTCTTTCCTAAAACCTGCAGCTTCTTAATATTTAACTTATTTTACCTTTTCTAGTGTATTGCTCACTTGCAGGACTGTTAATTTGCACTAGTATGCAAGGGTATTCTTGTTCACTGATTATGTCAGTAAGGATTTGTGATGGGTGCAGTGCTGATTTTAATTAGCATAACTTGGCTGATCCACAAGCACCTTTGTAATATCATCATTCATTGTGTTCTGTTCCCCACAGTGGAAATGTCCAAACACTCAAGAGAGAAGAGGTCTTTCTTTATGAAATAGGAGGAAATATTGGTAAGAATGGCTTCTGAATGACCTCTTTAGCTAGAATAGGATTCCTTGGCATGTTGTCCATGGGCTTTGCTGTGGTTGTATTTTTTTTCATGTCCCTCATTCTCACTGACACTAAAGCAGACAGTTAACCTTGTGGAGAAGGCAGCAGAGATGTTGGTGTGATCATTATATTAGTAGTATCTTATTGTATGTCCCAGAGGAAGTTGGCAGCTCTAACTGATGTTCCTGATATGTAGGTACAGTGAATAAGCACAGAAACATTGGATACAAAGGTGCTTGAAGTTCATCTTATTCATCTCTTTGTACTGAGGCATAATAAGTGAACTTAGATTTCTTCGTGTTCTGCATTTGAGTGTCACTTGCAGGTTCTTTTAGGGGGAAGAAAATGCTCAGCCAAAAATATGACTGTGATAAAATTTTCCAGCAGTTAATCTTTCCCTGCTCTGCTTATTCCAGATCCTTTTGATTAAAGTAAATAGCAGACCAGCAAGGTTAATGCCAAGGATAATTTTTGAGCACAGTTCTAAAGTTTTCTTCCACAAATGCAAGAGTATTTTTGCATTAGAAATCAGTTTCTAATCAAAGTATTTTTCATATGCTCAGGAAAACAAAAGGAGAACTAGAAAGCAGTAGTAGATTGGACTTAACATTTACTTTTTCCTTAACTGTGACCTGTTAAACTTACATGGCATTATAAAATTACATGCAGTAATTTTTCTTTTGCAAGTTTCAATTCTGTGTGTAAACTGCTACTTCTAGCATTTTTCTTTTATTCTAATCACTACTATAAATAATTTTTTGCATGTTTGTCTAAACCAAAAGACTTAATTAAAATAGCACTTACCTATGTTACCTGCAACAGGTATGTTTTAGTGTCTTTACGAAGTCTGGTAAATAAGTTACCAAGATAGTTGGGTGCCAGATGAATGTATTATATGTTCTCTTGTAAATCCAGTATCTACATACATTTCCTATGCCCATTAAAGCAGGTTGCAATCCCAGACTTTTTTAAAAGAGAAGAATATCTTATTTATTCTACAGAGGTGTAATCATTGCAGGAAAAAAGGTTTTGTAACAGAATTCCAGTGAAACTGGAACAAGTTACTGTTACTTTAAACATGTGATAGAAATTGTATTTCTCTTAGAGAAAGTGCAGATTTGTTTTGTTTTGTTGTGACATAGTTTAGAAAGATGTTTTCTCTGTCTGAATGGTTTACTTCCAGAGGATTTCAACTTTAATCAGTCCTTGTTAGTTCTTATTAATACTCTCAGTTGAAGTAAGAGAAATTCCCTGCCTTTAACCTGCTGTACAGGTTTAAGTAAACCAGCTGTCCTGACTTTTGCCATCTGTCTCTCTTTCCAGTGTGCCTGACTCATATAGAGGGAGCCCAAAACAAGAAGACTTGAGGGGCTCATGACACACTTATGTCCTTACACTTACGCTCATAATTAAAACAAGCACAATGCTGTGATCTTGTCCTCTAGCAGATGCAGCTGCTGGAGTCTGCAGACGTTTCTTTAGTAGTCAGTACACTGTAGAACTTCAGGGCACTGATGGGACTTCTGCCACTGCTTTGTGCCTGGGACTGGCTGGATAGGGACATGCAAAGTGCTGTCCCCATGCTCTCACTGCCTGAACATGCTGTACTGAGCAAAGGAGAAGACCTAGGTCAGCAACATGGGCAGTACTGGTCACAGAGGTTTGAATTAAAATCCTAGAGGGAGCAGATGGAGTCTGTGCCTGGTTGAGCAGAGAGTCTTGCCTTCTTGCCTGCTCTGTGCAGGGCATCCAAAGAGCTGGCAGACAATCTCAGCTGCAACATTCCACCTGTGTTTGCCTCCCATCTCAGGAGCACTGGAAACGTCTGTCTGGCATGAGCCATCCACCCCAAACAACTGCATAGCAGAGTAGAAGAGGAGCTGTGATGCAGAGCTGCAAATGCATGAGATAGTGCTTTGCCTGTAGGAAAATGGGAAGAATGTGCAGATCTTGATGGATCAGCATATGCTATTTTCTTCATAGCTACTAGACATAAATTAATTGCATCTAGTGCACCAAGAACAGTGTACTACTTTCCCCTCCAAGGACAGCAACTATTACAAATGCTATGCAGAACAGCTGAGTTAAGAGGAAGAGGACAGGGAGTAACACCTTCTTAGCAAGGAAAAACCTTGCACAAACTTAACATTTAAAAAGGGGAAAATAACCTGAAATTTTAAAGAGCCTCTATGCAAATGTGAATGTAGTTTTTGGATATAATCATGAGAGGATCAGGACATTGCTTACTTGCAGAGGGGAGTTCCCATCTGTATGGTCTTTGTGAGAAATCTGACCTAGAATATGTCACAGAGGTAGAACAGCCCCTTCTATCCTTCCTTCTTCCTCTTGTCCCTTCTCCTACAGGGAGGGTAGGAGCACCTCCAACTTTTATGTGCATTGTCTTTTGTTAAACACCACAGAGAGACTTTGAAAATCTACATGGAATAAAGCACTAACAGGAACTTTGGAAGTTATTTCATTTTTCTTTTGGTACTGGTGTAAACACATGTCTTTTCTGTTTCTAGGAGAACGCTGCCTTGATGATGATACCTACATGAAGGACCTATACCAGCTCAACCCAAATGCTGAGTGGGTTATAAAACCTAAACAGAGCTAAGATCATAACTAATAGCAAAACCTCCAACCTGTGGACTTACCTTGTACAGCTGAATGTTTCAAAGGGATAGTGTGTCCTTTTAACATTCAACCATTATGTATATTAATAGAACTTTATCCAGTTAAAAAAAAAAAAAAAAAAAAAAAAAAAAAAAAAAAAAAAAAAAAAAAAAAAAAAAAAAAAAAAAAAAAGGCAATAGTGACCCAACAGTTATAACCAGTAAACTTTCAGTTTTACTTGCAGAAAAATTTTGGAGATAGCACAGTTTTCCCACTCAAGTTTGAAATGAGCAAAAGTTCCTTATATATTTTATATATAAGTAGCTTAAATATTTTAATGGCACTAAGCTACCTCCCATCTGGTAGGTCTTGAGTCAGAAGAATTTATTTTTCAAGCAGATGTTTAAACTCTTTGTATTAAGGACCTACAAATTGTTTGTGTAGAATTTTGTGTTCATATAGGTTTTTTCAATGCTAGTACAATAGAAAACCGGCTCCTGATCAGCACTTCTGAATGGTACAGTATTAAAAATACCTGACCGAGTGATATGAATTTCCCAAATTACTGTGAATTTCACAGGAAAAAACTGCAATGCAATCTATTTTGTCTTTGGAAGTCCTAATTTAAAGTTTGATGAAAACTATTTAAAAACAACTGTGAAAATGCTTTCTATGCAGCTTTTTTGCTTTTTTGCTAGATCTTTTAAGTATTTTTATTTTTACTTCAGTTGATTGTGCTCTTGAGATTATTAAAAAAAAAAAAAAAAAAAAGGAAGAAAAAAACAAAGGACCACATAACAAGGTGAGTCTTTTTAAAGCTCACTACTCTTGGCATTGTCCTTTCTGGCATATTGTCATGCACTAGAAAAACCTTTTAGGTATTTCAGCAGTGATTGCAGCCATGTTACATACCCTGATTTCAGGTTTTCTGGGCATCTGATTGAGTTTTGTGAACTGCCAAAACTTTTCAGCTACTAGCATAATAAAAACTTTCAGGAAAAATAAAATAACTGTGGAAGGAAACTGTACTCTAAATTCCATAAGTAGCAAACCACTAAACCTTTCACTCAAAACCATTGTAAGGGTCTACTGTGGGTATTACCTACCATCGGCTATGTATCTGGTTTATCCTGGACGAGGCTAGAAATCAAGTTCTGATTTCCCTTATGCTGATAGATGCTGTCTAAAATTAGTGGTCCAACAGAGAACTATTGCAAATCCATCCCCACTCAGGAAAGAACTGAAAGCTCCCCATGGAATTCACTGATAATGAATTATAGACTGAGGAGGCTTGGTGCAGCACAAAGAGCTCTGTGGCCTGGAGCTCCAGAGCCCCTGTTCTGCAGCGACACTTTGGGCTCACTAGTTTGTGTACCACTTCACAATTTATTTATAAACTAGCTCAGCTGTGCTCAAGTGCTTACACCTGCATGCTGACTATCTGAGGTAACTACTGTGAAATTGTATCCTTGGAATGAAATACTTTCTTTCAATGCACACAGAGATTTATACTGACCTCATAGGGAGTATTCTACATGCAATCAAGGACTGAATTACATTTTTTTACGTGATCAAAGCTGATTAAAGGAATAAAGGACCTTTCTGCTGAGCTTTGGACGTGGGCCCTGTGTTGACAAAGTAACTACTGGAACTCTCCCTTTTATGTACAAGCAGTGAAATAGAACTCTGAAAGGTCATAGAAAAATTAGACATCTGCTGATTAGTTATCCACAGCATATGAACAATTTTGGGGCCGTGTACATTTATTGTTTCTTAAAGTTAAAGGCTGTCTTCATATGAAGAAAAAGCACTGCACTGGTTGGTTCTAAAAAGCAGGATGAGTAAAAGAGGAAATTGTTCTAATGTGACTGTACTGCCCTCAGTGCTCCATCTATCTGGGCGTTCCCACGTGGTATAGCACCGTGCCACTATGGACACATCGTCTAAGACAAATTACATTTTTCTGTAGAACAAACTCCCTGTTTTTCAAATGGAAGGAATAGAGTGGCAAAGCAGTACAATGCTTAGGTAAACATTTATGAATCTATTGTAATAAATATAAGGGGTTTTTTTTTGACATGTAATGTCACATACGTTATAGTTCTGTGAAAGATTACTTGTTACTGGAACTCTAGGTGTTATTTTAATCAGGAGCAAAGTGCAGATGATAGGAACAGCTGTTCCTAACAGTTTCAGCATAAAATTGCAACCAACCTGTGGTTATGATCTCTTAAATAACTTTGTTTTCGGTTTAGTGCCATTGTTTGGTGTTTTTTTTAATTTAAAAATGTTCTTTTGTAATTAAATGTTGGTTTTTTCTGACTTTTTCTGACTTTCTCATTCAAATTCTTATTTTTCTGCGTAAAACATATCCAAATGACACTAAGTGATAATTATTTTGTGATTTCGCATTTTACATCTTTGTAGAGAGCTAGTAGTATTGTATATGACAAAGAGACATTGATAAGTTAAAATCCTGCAAAATGAACACCTGCTGAAAAAAGAAATAACAGGCTAGAAGTTTATAACTTTGCAATTGCAATACACAATTGCAATATAACATTTGCTGGGTACATGCAAAGGAACAGGAGACTTCTCAGCGCTCATTGAAAATACCGGCTCTACATTTTTCATAATCAAGTAATTAAATTAGGGCACAAGTGGGAAGTCCAAAATGCATTCAGGTAAGCTGATAAGACTCTTCTATAATTAAAAATACAGTGCTTCATTAGTTGCTTATTTGGGGTGATTTGGTAGGCCACCACTGTTTGACTGATGACTTGAGAAGCACATCTGCATGAGATTTTTCACCCAGTGTCAGATTAATGCTGTGTGCAGCCCTGTACAGGCATTACAGCAACCAGGACTGGGGAGAGGAAGAAGTGGGGAAGCAGGTGATGGTCCCTCTTACCACTGCCTGGATGTTGTGGAGCGTGTAAGGATGGTTTTGTGCTCAAAAACCCTCTGGTGAAGGAGGAGGAAGGAGGAGAAATGTCCCCAATGCTTGTATGAGGTGCAGACACCTTTCTCACACTGCCTGTTCTTCAAAGACTACAGAGTTTGTACTCATCCTCCATAGCCTCCTGCTCTTTTCTACCTTGTGCAAAGCACATGCACCATCCCTGGATCTCCATGGGTGCCAGGAGGAAAGATGTCATCCCAACCAGCTGCCCCCTGCGTGAACAGCAATGAGACAGGTTTATCTCGTGTTGCAAGTCAACAAGCAGCATCTCTGAGAATTTCAAGAAGACAGTAGGGAGCAGGTAGATTAATGGATCTGAATGTGTTGGAAATATTAGCTGAATTTCTATCAGCAGCATGACTGAGATGAATTCAAGGATAAGGAGATGCACTATTTGGCAGTGAGCACCAACAAAGAAGGAAATGTTTGAGAAAGGCCTGCTTTGAACTTTTCCCAGCCCATTATTTCTTTGTCAGACATTCTTTAAAGCAATGTAACTCTCCAGTAAAGCACACTGTCTTCCTAAGTATTGAGTTAAATTGCAGAAGCAAGCTAACTTGGTAAAAGATTGCTAAAGAAATTGTTTCCTTGGTATCACATTTAAATGCATCTTAGGATTAATTCTCTGTTGTGCTACTATCTTTAAAAGGTTGCAGCCATTCAAAAAGTATAAAATGTGTATGTGCTAATCTTGGAGCAATATTTATAATATTTTTTAATGTAGAACAATGCTTTAAAAATATTTATACTACTGTTTGTGTACCACTGTGGTCTGTTGCACATAGACCACATCTGAAGTAGGTAAGTACCTATTATCCCCATTTAGCAGGTAGGAAAAGTGTTCATAAATGGCTGGCTTCTGGCTAGGAGGGATGAAATTAATCTGATTTGTATAAACCAAATAATGATCCTCCAACAATTGCTTTAAGAATCTGCTGTATTGCCAGTAACAGCAGTATAGCAATCACAAGTATGGCTTCAGGGGATTCTTTTAATAAATATAATGCTGTAATTTTTAGCCTGGGTTCCAAAGGAAATTTATCTGGGGTAATCTTGCTACCTTGTGTGTATCTTCTCCTAATTACTTTTCAGTCTGTTGGCAGACTTTAGTAATTTTTGGCAAATGCAGTGGGAGGAAAGGCGTGTGTCAAAAAAATAATTAAGCTTCTACGAGCTTCATAAAACCATGTAGTAGGAGTCCTTTGTTCAATGGGGAGATGACAGCATAAGCTCCACTTCTGTTTAGACATCTGAATAGATGCGTGAGAGAAACCATACACATACTCTGGCCATGGAGGAAAGCTGTGCTTGGAGCTCACAGCCAGCCATAGGGATTTGGCATCAGGCCTTTGGAGACCTGAGGAAGCACTTGCTTGTGTTGCCACCTGCTTTCTGAATTTTCTTTGTTGACGTAATGTGGGTGATTCTTGCTGGAGCTGCAGTTGTTCTCCTGGGCTGGCTTTTGGGGTGCAGCCTCTGCCACTCCTGGTTAGTACAACTCATGCCCATACCCTCCCTATGGACTGAGCGCCTTTCCAGCCTGAGCTGTACCAACTGCTGAAGGCGTTGATGCAGGTGAGGAGGTGGGTAGAAATACCTCTCCTCTCTCTTCTTGTAGGGCTGTTGGAATTTACCTTCACCCTGGGGAATAATCAGATCTAAAACTAGGCAGTATCAAAGGACAGCCTTCACTTGTAGGTTTTAAACCATCGTGGGAATACAACTTGCCATTCATGAATCATGGGAAGTGGTGGTGGTTCAAAAGCCCCGCAGATATTATTACTCCTTGACGATCCATTCTGGGATGACTGAAAGGATCCTTCCTTCCCCCTGTGGCGCTGTAAAACCAGTAACTAATGCTTATTTGCATTGAGAGCCGCAGTCGCTGTATTTCACTCATGGAATGAGCTTTGCCCTCTGTGTTACCATTGTGCCTCTGTAATGCGGCTACTCGGGAGAACAAATTGTCTTGGTTCCCGTGAGCAGCCTGCTCACATACTGTGTCGCTGTCCTGCAGGGCAGCCAGTTCTGTGCTTCTTTCCCATGGGGATTCCCTGTGCCTTGCGAGCGGTGCCCCCGCCGCCTGGTTATCCACACGCGGGGATGTCGGGGATGTGCCTCTGCCGTCCGCTGTCATTCACCGCCTGCCGGGGACAAGC